CTTCCTCTATAACTGTTTGAAAGCTCTTACTCTTCAGTCTTAGGAGGCGTAGACGAAATAAAATTCATCCCTGGTCGAGGTTCATTGGCAGGACCTGCTCCTTTCTTCTCCTCGTGAGGTGAAATGCTTCCCTCTTTTATAACCAGGATGACTGACAGTGATGACACTCACAAAATCAGTTTTCCTTTGCCATTTGGGACACAGAAGAGTCAGTTTTCTTTGTTAGGTATAAGAATTATACTATGTTTTCCTAGTGATTATTCACCACCTTCCATAATTCACTGATAAAATATTCTTTTGCAGCAAAGGGCCAAGAAGAGCCCTTAATGTTAGGAAGAATTGTCCAAAGTACCCTGGCACGGTATCCGACTTTTCCTCCTTCACCCACTTCACGTTGACATTAAAGGTACTTGTTAGAGTGCTCAGGGCCCCTGGATGTATTACGTCATCTAGGAGTTCTGGCTGATTATAGGAAGGATCTGTCAGGAGCACTACTTAAACTCAAACAAGGCTAATTTCTAAACCAGAAACTCAAAGTATTAATTCATTAAAGGGAGCAAGTAAGGCTTGTATGTCTTACGCACTGCACCTCCTTTCTTAGTATCAAAATACTTGGGGGAGTTGAATTATTGATCAGAAAGTTGCATGGAATCAGAACAAGTACTAAAGAAGTGTCTTTACATTACAATTACGAACAGCTTTCTAGTGACCAGTATGAAGGGTCATAACTGCAAACTTTGCTTCCAAACTGTGAGATATCTTTGAGGAAACTCTTGTCCTACTTTATTATATGGGACTTAGAGAATTTGGAGAAACTATATAAGCTTTCCAGTGAATCTTTTGTGGCAGGAATCTTAAGGTTTTATATTCCATCAGCCACTGCCATTGTTTCCACTAGACTTTTCCTTGAGAGATTGGCTAACTTAACCTGCAGCACTGAGCATAGTATCTAGCATACAGTATATGCTCATTTAAAGCCTATTTAACAACTAAGTGAGGTCTTGCCTTTTCCCTAAGTTGCAGTCTATTACCACCACTAATTTAAGATCTGTCTGAGGGAACCAGAAAACAATATACAGGTTTTCCCCCATCAAAACTGGTGTTCCTATGAAAGCTTCATAAGCCCAAATGGAATTAAGTAAAGAAGCAACTGCCATTAATTTACATGGAAAAATTTATCACTCCCAGACCCCCAAAACCACCTTTCTTAGGCTTTTCCAATGCCTTCAGACACATCTTGGTAATGGATGCATAAAATAAATCTGGGTAAAGCACAGATGATCAGGGACACAGTTCAAAACTATGGAGGCTTGATGCTGAGGTGCTGAGTGAAGTTCCTAGGGCAGGAGCTTGGGGTGCTGTTCTTGCTACTCAGGGTGTGCAGTGCCCTAACGGTGGCCCCATGGCCAAAAAAAATGCTGAATGCTGCTTTTGCTTTCTCCCTTTGTTTAAAAAAGCAAAAATTCTCTTTGGATTTCTTCCAGTTGGTGAAAACAGGTACTAATGTAGCTCTTTGGTAAAAATGAAGTAGTGTGATGCGAGCTTTCAAAAGCAGGTGACACCCGAATGAGCTTCACTTCCTTGACACACACATCAAGGAGCAAGTGTTCACTGACTTGTCAAGGAACAAGAAACTGTTTCTCTTTTTACACCATGTGTTCAATTTTTCAACTACATTACTATCACCCACTGCTTATTTATCCTTTCCTCAATATTGAAATTCAGTTCTCATCAGAATTCACTTTTTCTTAACCAGGGCTAGCTCTCAAAAATCACATAAATTGTTTCATAAAAAACCATTTCATTGCAGGACCTAAAAGCAACAGAAATCTGTTCTAAGAGTGAATAGCAGAGAATATTTGCCAAGTGTTTAAAAAAATGTTCATTTTAGAAAATAACTATTTTCCACACCTAAAAAAATCTAGTTAATCATTATTCTATCTACACAATTTCATTTTGCCCTTTTCACTTAAGATTTTCCCATGACATAAAAAGCTTTGAAAGAACATTCAATTCAAAGTGAGTTAAAATGCCTCAGAGGACTCTGTATACAAATTCAGAGTAGCAGAAAGAGTATTGGTGGCTCTCTCCCACACATATACAGTGATTTAAGATACCGGATGCTTCAGGGGTATGATGTGAAAATTCGGTTTAAAAATAGAGATTATTAAAAATGACAGTTATGTTCTTCCAAAATATATAAAGAACTCAAACGCCTCCACACCCAAAAAGCAAACAACCCGATTAAAAAATGAGCAGAGGATATGAACAGACAATTCTCCAAAGAAATTCAAATGGCCAAAAGGCACATGAAAAGATGCTCCACATCGCTAATTATCAGGGAAATGCCAATTTAATCCACAATGAGATATCACCTCACACCAGTTAGGATACACAACATAGAAAAGACTCTGAAGAAGAAATGCTGGCAAGGATGTGGAGAAAGGGGAACCCTCCTACACTGCTGGTGGGAATGCAAATTAGTTCAACTATTGTGGAAAGCAGTATGGAGGTTCCTCAAAAAACTAAAATTAGAAATACTATTTGACCAGGGAATTCCACTCCTAGGAATTTACCCTAAGAAAGCAAGATCTGAGATTCAAAAACACATATGCACCCCTGTGTTTACTGCAACACTATTTGCAGTAGCCAAGATATGGAAGCAACCTAATTGTCCATCAGTAGACGAATGGATAAATAAGAGGTGGTACATATACCCAGTGGAATACTATTCAGCCATAACAAAGAAACAAATCTTACCATTTGCAACAACCTGGATGGAGCTAGAGGATATTATGCTGAGTGAAAGAAGTATAAGGCAGAGAAAGACAAATACTGAATGATTTCCCTCATTTGTGGAGTATAATGATGAAGCAAAAGTGAAGGAACAAATTAGCAGCTGACTCAGAGACTCCAAGAAAGGACTAGCCATTACCAAAGGGGAGGGGTGGGGAAGGGCAGGTGGGGAGGGAGGGAGAAGGGGATTGAGGGGTATTATGGTTAGTTCACATGGTGTGGGAGGGGGTCATGGGGATGACAGTGCAGCACAGAGAAGACAGGTGGTGACTCTGTGGCATCTTACTGAGACAGGGACCATGGGCTTAGACAGAGTAGGGTGAGGGCCTCTAGAAAAAACAAAGCAAGATAATTGATTGTGGGATTTACTTTAGCCTGCTGGGGGCCTGAGTCTTTCTGACTCTACCCTGGTGCTGCTTTTCTCCCTCCAGCCCTAAACAAATGACTTGCAACCTGGGCAATGTAGCAAGCAAGCCGAAAATAATGTGGTAAAAACAGAAAGGATTCCATCTTGAAAATAATCTTAATACCCAATTAGTTAAAAAGATAGTTTCTTAACAAACAGACAATAACCACGCCCACCTCGGGAGCAAGTAGGCAGTCTTGAGTGATACTCTCCCAGGCCAGGAAGCTAGTATCCTGAAAATCAGAGCAGTAAAATTCTTGTAGATAACCAGGAAGACTAATTAGAAACCTAATGTCTCTTCAAAGACAAGCATTTTGGGATCACTTAGCAGGTGTATATTCCTAGCCCTTTGTCTCTCAACTGCCTCTAAAACCCCCTAGACAGCACTCACCACCGCGGGAATCTCCTGTCCCCTCCTGGCCTGAGCCAGGAGCTCTGTCTCTCGCTTTCTCTCTAAATAAAAGTCTCTGCCTTGCTTTCCTATCTTGAGTGTTTGCGATGTTCATTCTTCAACTCTGTGAACAAGAACCCCAGCATTATTACTACACTGATGGACAGTGACTGCAATGGGGCATGGGGGGAACTCGATAATATGGGTGAATGTAGTAACCACACTGCTTTTTCTTGTGAAACCTTTAGAAGAGAGTGTCAATGATACCTTAAAAAAATGGCAGTTATGTTAAAATATATTCTGGTTTGATCTTTGTTAAATATGAGCTTTAAAAAATAATTCACCTTGAAAATAGTCTGACATGATTTAGTGCTAGGTAGATAAATCCTGGCATATTCTTGGTGGAAGAGACAGAACCAGTAATGGTGGTTCTAGAAATAAAAAGTATGAAGTAAGCTGAACCCATAAAGTGCCTCATCCTCTATGCCTGAGTGTCAGACTATATTGGAATTTATATTCCTCAACAAAATGTTCAAGAATTTCTTCAAAGATTCAGAGAATGGCAATGATGGAAATAAAACCAAAAATGAAATCTACATTTTTAAATCAGTCTGTTGTTATGCTTTTTGAAGCGATGGCAAAATACTTAGAGGCATTTCCTCTACTTCTTTGTGGGGCAGAACAAGACTATCTGGTTAACGAGAGTACTAGGTCCAGAAATGACCCTTGGTCACTCAGGTTGGGTTGCACTCCAAGGGATACAAAACACGCAGAGCACAAAGTCAAGCTCTGATAAATGACCTACCCAGCACAACTTTTCTTCCTTCTGGATCAGAGGGCTTCTCCTTCCCCAAAAGTTGGACCCCCTACTCTATAAGACAGGCTAATTTTCTTTACCACTAACTGGGTACAAGTGGGAGAGTCTCATTCATGCCCTCATCGGGAGGAGAAGGAAACACACCATCTCCATGGGCGCCAGGGGCGCATCGAGACACAGGGGAAATCCCTGAAGTGAAGCAAGTGCTCAGAAATAAAGAACCAGAGGGGCCCACTTTGAGGGATTGCTGTACGGCAAAGAGGAGAGAACTCTAAAGGGGTAGGAGGGAGGGCAGTACTCCATTTCCGGTTGACTTTTATTAGAAAAAGGGGGTGGATATCGTTGCAGTGCAAATCTAGAGCCACTTGAGATTGAGGGCGCCATACAAGAATGGAGAGACAAGAGGCCCACGGCCAGCCTCGTACACATAGGCTTATGGCGCCACTTTCAAAACAGGCACGGCGATGGTGATTGCTTGTAGGGAATGAGTGCTGGAGATGGGGGCGGGACAATGCTGGTCTTGTGAGCGCTGATTGGCTGACGGCGCTCATCGCCCGTGCCATTTGTTGTTGGAGCTGAGCTCCTGACGCATGCTGCGTCGCCCTGCACGTGCAGCCGTTGAAGCGGCGTTGGCGCCATTGAGAGCCGCCGGAGAACAAGCTGCGGAGAGGTAAGCTGTCTGCTTTATCTGGGACACGGGCCTCATCCCAACTGTGTGGGCTTCCCAGATGCTGGACTTGGGTCAGTGAAGAGCGCGAGGAGCCGCCTGGGGTTTGACGCTGTGCTTTGGGGCCTTCCCGCCTGCCGGCCCAAGGCCCTGAAGCCGGCTGGGCGACCCGGATCTGGGCTCAAGGCCTGAGGAGGAGGGGAAGGCGCCTTTTCGGCCGGCCCCTCGCGCCCCTTTCTCTGAACAGGGAAGGCTGTAGTACCGTTGGTGTAAACGCGCCTTGGTGAGACCGCCCTTTATTGGAAGGATTTGGGCCACCTAACCCGTCGCCCTTTACTGGCCAGACTTAAAGGCCGCAGTCCCCAGCTTCCTGTGCTCCCAAGAAACGATACAAAACTCCAAACCAAACATTTTTACCTTTGAAGGAGGGGCGTGAAGGGAGAAACCTCAAGCAGTCCCTGAAGGACTTCTCCCCTTACCATCCAGTAAGCCGTTTGGGGACGTTTGCATGGGGCACGGGAATTATATGGACAGATTCCGGGGAAAGCCTCAGCGTCAGGGCGGACAAAGTGACTGCTAGAGTGATTAGCTAAGTGGTTCAGCCAATTTTTAAAGATTAAAAAGGATGGATATAAACGCTGCCTCTAGGTGAGAAACAAAACTTGCCTCCTTTTACAAAAGCTTTTGGGGAAGATCAGCACGTAGCTGAGTAGTTCAAGCGGTGTATGTGGGGTGATGATAGGTTATGCTTCTAAGGGTATGAGTCTGATCTAATTGATTTGTGCGTCTATTTTTTTTTTTTATAAAAATAGAACTGGAAGCCGCAATGGGAGATGCAGACTGGGAAGCAGAGACTATCCGATCTTCTATGTATTCTCATGTTCCTGTATTTGAGAAGGTAGTAAATTTAAAGTTTGCAAACCTAAAATTTAAATGTTACAAATTTGATCGAAGTTGAAAATCACGGCGGTGGCCAAGTTTTTAATTAGTTTGTCTCCGTGCGCCGTGCTTGTCTCCATCTGATTCTCACTGTTTTGTGGGGAATGAGGAGGAGGCACTCGAAGCCTCAGATAGAATAAAGTGGGCTGAGCTAATTTGGTGATTAAAAACTAAGATGTATGTCATGATTAACTTGATTTGAAAATAAACGGTTCAGAACTTATTGTGGCTGAAGGCCAGCTTGTACACATATAGTTGAATGTGTCTGAGAAACATACTGTAAATTGAACAATGTAATTTGGTTCTGGGTGAGATGTAGAATCCTGAGCACTGGTTTCACATAAGGGGGCTTTCAAGATAAATATGTCAGGCTGAGCCGGATGGTATTACCAGTTGGTGTTCGAATGCACAAATCATCAGACCTTTTTCCTTAATGTCATTTAGAGACGTACGTTATACTTCAGAAGGGGCCCTGGAGCAGCTTTCTGGGTTTCTGCCTGGAAAATTGACCTAACAAAACAGTGAGGATTCTACTTTAGAAAATAATATATTTGAGGGAATGTTTTTGCATGTTATCGGCCTGCAAATGTCTCCCAAGAGATTTATTTTTCCTTTAGACTTTACAGTTTGCGTTAATGTTAGTCAATTCTAGCACTTTTTGATTCCAAGTGATGTCTCAGTGGAAGTTTTTATTCACACACAAATAGAAAATATGCAGTCCTTTGTCTTATTTGGATTTCATGTGTATGTAAAGTTTACATTAAATTACCTAAGATGTTAATCTGAATTTATTATGTTTCTTGTTTTGGAACTTATTTTAGGAATAACACCTTTTGTATGGATTTTTAAAATAGTTGCCTTCCCATCATAAAAATATTATAACAGTGTTGGAAAAAGAGGAGAAAAAAAGCACCTGAGAATCTTGCTCACTAGGAAAAACACTGCTGTTAAATTCTTACTAAATTTTCTTCTGTTTCTGCCAAAGATAATAAACAGTAGTTTTTAATTCTGGCCTTTTCAGTCTTCAGCACTATTCCATATTCCCACGGACTTCCTAAAAATAATTTCTTACAGTTACGTAATATTTCTTGGACTGGGTCTAGCACAATATTGATTTTCAGCTGGTTGGGAATTCAGGGTGTCGTTAGCTTTTCACTGTAATGTTGTCATGCATATCTATGACTTATTTGTTTCAAAAATGGAATTAGTTGGTCAAAGGATATTATATGGTGTTACACCCCCATCTAGTTCTCTATAGATTTATTATAATACAAAGTTTAATCGCAGAAACAGACTTTCTTCCGCTTGGCCTTTAATAATCAATCATCTGTCTTAATTTTTATTATTTCTTAGTCTAAGATTTTTGACTTGTTATTCTTCAAGTAGTACACTGCACTGTTTCATATGGTACATATTTCTTGCCTAAGGTGTTTGAAATTGAGGGTGGCTAATTATAAAATCTCTAAAATTAACTTGTTTGGAATCTTTGTGCTACTCAATAATATACCTTGTTTCGTGATACTGGGAGTATGAATATTAATTTATGTTAACAATTCTACATTATGACTCTTAATGCATACATGTGTGGGGCCAATTTGTAAATTTTTTACATTTGTCTCCAAACTTAGCACTTGGCTCTGGTTGTCCAGTTAGTTAGTTGGCTTATTTGACTTGAAGGAACAGGGTGCAGTCAACAGCTGTGTTTGTCTGCTGTGGTTGAATAAAAAGGACAGAAACTAAGTAAGAATATGTGACATTTTTATGTAGGGGAAATTTGGGGTCTTTTAAAGCAACCATTTTGGTCTGTTGGTCCAATTGAATTTCCACTTCAGGGGACTGCTGGGCTTCTGCTTTTGTGTGGCTCTGAGACTGTCTTGGATTGGTGTAGCTTAAACAATTACGTGTCACAAGCCATTTCTGAATGCTTTTCAGAATCTTTATCTAGAGATTTAATATTTTTGACATATGTTCACATAATTTTGAACTAATAAGCCATGGCTCTGGTAGCTGCTGGAACCTCCTAGTTCTAGATTTTGAAGTGAGTTCAAAATCTACCTAGGGTTAGAGCAATGAAAGATGTGTGGTTAAGAAACATCTCATGATCAACAATTATGTAGTGCCGACATCCCAGTGTTCAGGCATTTGTACATTGAATCAAACTTGTTGGGATGGGTATTGGAACGGGTGAGTATGGTGAGTGTACTGGGTTTGCTCACTAACTGTAATGTGTCTTCTTAGACGACCATGAGACTAAGTCTACACAGTGATCACTTCTGACCTGACCTGTTTGCCGTTTTTTTTTGGTGGCATTTTTCAGAGGGTAAATACTCTTCTGATGGAAGTGGCAACAGCTTGAGATAATTACTCCATCCAGAACTGTAATTATTATTATTATTAATAGTAGTAGTAGTAGTAGTAGTAGTATTTTGTTACCATTAATCTACAATTACATGCAGAACATTATGTTTACTAGGCTCACCCCTTCACCAAGTCCCCCCCACAATCCCCATTACAGTCACTGTCCATCAGCATCAGCATAGTAAGATGCTGTAGAATCACTACTTGTCTTCTCTGTGTTGCACAGCCCTCCCCATGCCCACCCCCGACATTATACATGCTAATCATAATGCCCTCTTTCTTTTTCCCTGCCCTTATCCCTCCCTTCCCACCCATCCTCCCCAGTCCCTTTCCCTTTGGTAACTGTTAGTCCATTCTTGGGTTCTGTGATTCTGCTGCCATTTGTTACTTCAGTTTTTTTCTTTGTTCTTATACTCCACATATGAGTGATGTCATTTGGTGCTTGTCTTTCTCTGCCTGGCTTATTTCACTGAGTGTAATACCCTCTAGCTCCATCCATGTTGTTGCAAATGGTAGGATTTGTTTTCTTCTTAGGGCTGAATAGTATTCCACTGGGTATATGTACCACCTCTTCTTTATCCATTCATCTACTGAGGACACTTAGGTTGCTTCCATTTTTTGGCTGTTGTAAATAGTGCTGCGATAAACATAGGGGTGCATCTGTCTTTTTNTTCTTATGGCTGAGTAATATTCCATTGTGTATATGTACCACCTCTTCTTTATCCATTCATCTACTGAGGACACTTAGGTTGCTTCCATTTTTTGGCTGTTGTAAATAGTGCTGCGATAAACATAGGGGTGCATCTGTCTTTTTCATACTGGGCTGCTGCATTCTTAGGGTAAATTCCTAGAAGTGGAATTCCTGGGTCAAATGGTATTTCTATTTTGAGCTTTTTGAGGAACCTCCATACTGCTTTCCACAATAGTTAAACTAATTTACATTCCCACCAGCAGTGTAGGAGGCTTCCCCTTCCTCTGCAACCTCACCAACATTTGTTGTTGTTTGTCTTTTGGATGGTAGCAATCCTTACTGGTGTGAGGTGATATCTCATTGTGGTTTTAATTTGCATTTCTCTGATGACAAGCAATGTGGAGCATCTTTTCATGTGCCTGTTGGTCATCTTAATTTCTTCTTTGGAGAACTGTCTGTTCAGCTCTTCTACACATTTTTTAATTGGATTATTTGCTTTTTGTTTGTTGAGGTGCGTGAGCTCTTTATATATTTTGGATGTCAAGCCTTTATCAGATCTGTTATTTAGGAATATATTCTCCCATACTGTGGCCGCTCACAGATTTTACTTTTCCATTTCTCTAATATCCAGCACACTATGCAATATGTGTCTGCGCTCCAGGTGCGGAATACTGTTGCTGGTTATTCAGCAGTCCTGCACTTCCACTCCCTCCCCGCTCCGACTCCTTTCTTCCCTCCGGGAAGCTGGGGTAGGGGGAGTGCTCGGGTCCTGCTGGGCCGCGGCTTTTCTCTTACCCCCTTTGTGAGATGCTGAGTTCTCGCAGATGTAGATGTAGCCTGGCTGTTGTAGTGTATCCTCTGGTCTCTCTTTTAGGAATGGTTGTATTTGTTGTATTTTCAAAAATATATATGGTTTTGGGAGGAGATTTCTGCTGCCCTACTCATGCTGCCATCCTGGCTCCTCCTCTCTTCAGTATGAGTTTTGATGGTAAATGTTTTTGCTTGAGGAAAAGAACGTAACACTTTTATTTCAAGAATGCTCTCACATATAGAAATTTGGGCCTAGGATGTAAACTCTTGGAGCAGTCACATTTGTTCGTGGCTTTAGTTATTTCTGAATTTTGAGGTGCCTTGCTCTTTTTTGTGTGACCTAATAGCTTCCAGGGTTTGTGTGTGACACATGTGACTCAGAGGTGGAGTTCTGCAGCTCTGGAGGTGCTGAAGGAGTTGCATTAATTTTAGAAGAGGACTCCATGCAGCAATGCTGGAGGAACTGATGAAGGGACCAGACTTCAGCTGGTGATGTGAATGGGGCTGATTTCTAGCTGAGACTGGCTATTCAAATGAAGGGCTGAAGGAAGATACTGTTTGCATTTTAGGACTTAAATTTCTGGGTGGGACTAAAGGAGGAAAAAGTGATTTTGCTCATAATTCAAATTTTATATGACATACTATCTCATGTAAGCTGTCTGATCAGTTTATTTGGACAACCTAACTCAGTTTTATTTGACATGGAGCCTAGAATAGGAGACAAAATCTTGGTATTCTGTAAAAGTTGATGAAATACTCTGATATATTACAGAGGATTCTGAGCATAAAAGGAAAGAGATATTAGTAAAATCTTTTAAGGGCTAGGGAAGGAAAATGTGGAAGTGTCTGAATGGTACCCTAAACTGGACAGTGAAGAGGCATTTTCACAGTTCATAAATTGTCCAGTAAGTTCATTTGAATAGCAGACCTGACAGATATTTGAGCAAATCCCTACCATGTTAAAACAAAAAAAACTCTACAAGTATTCATTTCCTTGAGAAGATAAAAGACCAAAAGAAGCGTATTCTAGTATACCCTAACCCTAACCCTAAGACCTTTCTTTTGTCCCAGAGCACATGGATGTGGATCCCTGCTTTCCACAAGTGGCTGGAATATCAGTCTCTCCACGTATTCCACCTGTCCTAGCTTTCCAACCCCTCTAGTCTCCAGAGCACCATGCAATGTAGGTTCCTGCTTCCAGAGCAAATCTCTAGGGCTGAGTTTTCAGTAGTCCTAGGCCTCCACCCCCTCCCCACTCCGTTTCTCTCCCTCCTGCTGGTGAGCTAGGATGGGGGAAGGGCTTGGGTCCTGCCAGGTCACAGCTTTGTATGTAACCCTGTTCTGTGAGGTCTGTTATTTTCTCCAGGTGTATGCAGTCCGGTGCAGCCTTGTTTCCTGTTGCTCTTTCAGGATTACTTGTATTAACTATATTTTCATATATGTGGTCTTGGGTGGAGGTTTCTGTCTTACTTCTCACACCGCCATCTTTAATCCTCCAGAACAAGCATGTTTTTAAGAACCAAATAATAATATAAATAGTGAAAAGGGCTGTGAAAAAGAAATTAAAAAGTGTGTGTGTGTGACTGGGGTAGGGTGGATTTAGATTAGGTACAGAGGAAAGGCTTCCCTGAGACAATGACTGATGATCCCAGATCTGAAGGAAGCCCAGCCAGACATCATGTGCAAAGGTCCTGAGAAGGGAGCAAACTTAAGATATCAGGACAACAGGAAGAAGTACAATGTGTTAGTTTCTTACTGTTGCTGTAACAAATTACCACAAACTAGGTGGCTAAAAGCAATAGGAATTTGTTCTCTCACAGTTCTGGAGGTCAGAAATTAGAAATCAAGGTGTCAGTAGGGCTGTTCTCTTTCTGTAGGCTCTGGGAGAGAATCCATGCCTTTTCTTCTAGCTTATGGTGGCTGTTAAGTATTCTTTGGCTTATAGCTACATCACTTTCTGCTGTCTTCATCTGGCCTCCTGTGTTCCAGTTTTTACTGTATGCCTGTCTTAGAAGGGCATTTGTGATGACAATTAAGGCCCATCCAGATAATCCAGAGTAACTACATTTCAAAATCCTTAATTGTATCTGTAAGACCCCTTTTTCCAAATAGGATAACATTTATAAATTGCAGGACTTAGCGTTTCCTATCTTTGGGTGACATTTTCAGCCTACTACAGTTAGTACGGCTAAAAAACAGGGAGATAAGATGAGTCGTAGACAATGAAGGCAGAGAAGGAATGGGAGAAGGAGAAGGAGAGGAACCTGGAGGCAGTTGTGGACAGAGTTAATAGGACTCGATGTAGTAGATAAGGGGGGGAGTAAGAGTAATCAAGGGTGATTAACATAAGCAACTAGATGGATGATGGTGCCAGTAACTGAAATGGGGCATCTGTGGAAAATGAACAGATTTAGGAGGGAAAAAAAAAATGAAGAGTTCTGTATTTGCTATGTTTGAGATGCCCATGAAAGCAAGTGAAGATGCCAATCAGTAGGTTATACGGATTTTTTGCTTAGGAGAAGGATCAGTGCCATAGATATAAATTTGGGAGTTTTCTGCATGTTAATGGATTTAAAGTTATGAGATTAGGTGAAGTCAGATGGTATAAAACAGACTTAGAGGGCTTTGCCATGAGTTCTGGGACACTCCACCTTAGAGGTCCACTAGAGGAGCTAGCAAAGGAGTTTGAAGAGGGGGTGGCTGATGGGGAGTGTTTCTTAAGCCAAAAAAAAGAATGTTGTAAAGAAGAAGGAAATAGTCATTTCTAATGTGGCTGAGAGCTCTGGTTGTATGAAACATAAAAGTAGTAATTTTATTGCATGATTTCCTTATTAAATGCATTTTCAGTGCAGAGCTGAGAATAGAGGCTAGACTAGAGTGCCTTGAAGGAGAAATGGGATATGAGAGAGAGGAGGCAGCAGCTATAGACGTTTTCTTTTCAGAGGGGCAGAGAAGTGGTGTAATAGCTGAAGCGAATATAAAGGCATTTTTAAGGTAATGAAAAAGGATAAGAATTTTTTTTATGGTGAATTGTGAGGAAAAAAATTCAGATGTTTTATTTCAAAATTTGACTTGGAATTTATAAATTCCATATACGTGGGTTGTTAAATTCCACAGCTTGAAGATCATCTAATAATAGTAGGTTTTCATTTTTTTAGTGCCAAAGTGTTTCATTAACTTTTGTCAGCTTTATAACACTTAATTAAAACAGCCCTTTTTGGTTCTATTCACTCAATGATACTTTGGCTACTAGAAAAGAGAAAGAAGTCCTCAGGGTATCACTTTAAATAGGGAAACTGGGTTACTCTTCTTATTTGTCTTATTAATGTCTATGGTCACCATAAATTGGAACTTTTAACTGTAGTAATTAACAAACTCCCAAGGCATTTTGAGGATGCACTTTCTGTTTTTAATAACTCAGAAGAGTAATTGGGTGACTCTAAACCTTTATAAAAGTGGTGATGAAGTCATTTTAGTGTCTTTTGTGAAAGAAATTTTAGAAAAAGTCTTGCCTGAAGATACCTACATTAGTGCACTCCCTCCAGCTTTGGGTTTATTTAAAGGAAATTATTTGAAGGCATATCATGACCATTGTAATGCAGTCAGTTAATTATAAGGTATCATCTGTAAGTTTTAGATCACTTTTCATTCTTAAGTTATTGAATTCTGATTTTCATGTGCAAAAATTTCAAAGTTCTATTCTGAAAGTTTTGCCCTAAATAGAAGCTTATGTGAAGGGAAATAAAGGAGTAGATTAATGATGATAAGGACACCATAGGAGGTAAAAGTGATAGAAAAAAGTTACTCAAAGTTTGTTAACCCAGACACACCCTAAGAAATGTTGGAAGAGTCCAAAATTAAGTTGACATTTAGCTACTGATGCTATTAAAGTTGAATTTTCTGAGTTTAACATCCATTATACTATTGTAAAATGCTTTAGTATTAATAACAAATAAATTTGGAGGTGGGTTTTAATTATTTTAAAAGGGCCAGTCAGGATTTAAGATGAAGGGCAATCTCCAGCTATTGCTGCAAAAAGTTTGATTGAAATTAACCATGAGTATCCTGACCCTGTAGGTGACATACACCACTTCACTGCATTTGTAGTGCACCTGCCACATACATACACACATACATGCACACACTCAAACGCACATGGTTTTTAGTGCATGTGTGAGGTTTTATTTTAGAGTGAATTCCTTCTATAAAAATGTGAACACAATTTGTTTCACTTTATTTAAACACAACTGAAAAGTTTCAGGAGTAAATTTCTGTAGTACTTTACTATAGAAATTGTCTGCTATTCTCCTGTGCCCTACTTTCTGTGCAGTGTTGATGAGTATACCGTGAAATACCAAACTCTGTAAACTGTGTTGCATATTGGAAGGCACTGATGTATTCATGTATTTCTTTGGTCATATTTTTATTAATAATAGTATTTGCTTGTACTTTTCAGGTTTTTGGGTGGCTAAACCTAAGTCAAGTGTCAGCAAACTCTTTCCAGAAGGGGCAGATTAGATTTTGCAGGCCTTATGGTACCTGTTGCAGGTTTGCTATCGTAGTGAGAGAGCAGCCGTAGGTATACTGAGGGTGGCAGTGTTCTAGTAAAACTTTATTTACAAAACCTTGTGGCCCACCAGATTTAGCTCATGGCTGCAGTCTGCCGACCACTGTTTTCAGTGATATATTAATATGCTATACATGCAATGTTAAAGTTAATGAATGTTAATTTAAAAGTTATTTATGTTAATAAAGGAATATCCAGTGACCCAGAAGATCTTCACTCTGCTATTTTGTTTTGAATAAAACCCAGTTGTTAAATTTTTCTAGTATTTGTGAGTTAGACGACCCATTCTCACTATTCAAAGATATACTGGTATTTTCTTCCTTGTTACAGGACACATATTCTTCTGGAGCAAATGGAGACACTTCTAACAGGACTCCAGCCTCATCAGCAGGTATGTGTTAAGCCAAAAAGGTGGAACCCTTTCTAGGTTAAGGCTTCATCTAGTTAATGAGCAGAGTAGTAGACATCTTGTAGAGGCTATTTAAACAATTTCCTGGTGAGAATTCATTCTGACGTGGATGCTTAGGGATGGGGGCCATTCTCGCTAGAGAAAGGTACAGTGGAGAGAGTGTAGTATTATAAACTATGTTATTTGATTTAGTGTGTTTCCTGTAAACATCTTTGCCCAGCTAGGAAGTTGCGTATTTGGCTTTCAGGTTGCTAGGGAAATGTTATGGTTCCTGACACAAGGGAGGAGGAGATTGGACTCTAAGTTTGATGAGGCAGTGGTAGTGACCTGTCAGGATACCTGTTATTTAAACCAAACCTACCATACCATCGAGATTTCATGACTTCTTTGGGATCTGAACACTGATTTGGGAAATGTCCTAGGAGAATAAGAGAAGCAAGCCAGGATAAGGGAGCCACTGGTTTTCCCCCACCTGTTTCCACTGGATTGCCTCAATATTTTATAGAGTTGATGTGGATGGGAAGAAGGGTGCGAGTGGTAAGTCTTGGACTAGAAAGTTAAACTCATGGCTTAGTCTTCCATTTTGTTGAAGTCCAAAGCAGGCTGAAATGCTATTTCTACTATATATTTTCCTTTTTTTTTTGCTGTGGCAAAATAAACCTGAAATTTATTAACCATTTTTAACTACACGGTTCATTGGCATTGTTTATTCACATTGTTGTGTAACCATCAACACCATCCACCTGTCATCTCCCCAAACTGAAACTTGACACCCGTTTAACAATAACTGTCCATTCTCTTCACTTCCCAGCTCCTGGCAAGCCGCCATCCTACTTTCTATAAATTTGAGTTACTGATGAACTTACTACAAGTCTCTGAATTTGAGTCACTACTACTATTAAGTCTTTCTAGTGCAAGAGAGAGGGCCTGGTACACCAGGTAGTTTCATCATTTCCTTCATCCAAAGGTAGTGAATGAAATAAAACATTTGATACTCAGAGGAGCTGCTGGCTCACTGAAGCCTGTCTTAAAATGAAAAAACCTGTGGAAGGTAGTTTCTAAATGTGAAGGGGGGTTTGAGAATAGAGTTCATTAGGTTAAAACAAATTTCATTCCCGTGCTCACCTTAATTTCAGAGTAATTCTCTTGATAGAAGTTAAGTTTACAAGAGATGCTTTTGTTATTTTCAAGAGGCATTTAACGTTCATAAACACTTAAATGAAGTGGTTTAATATGGAATATTAAGTTTCTGAAAAGTTCATAAAAATTGCCTGCTGAAACCTCAGTAAAAGGCAAAAAACCCTCAGTAAAAGGTTCTACCATGTGAACCACATGCACACATGTGTACCTGAAATACTAAAACACATGGGTGAGAGTAATCTATACCTTTTAACATGTCTATCTGTGTCAGGAGAAACCTTGTTCTTTGAGGTGTCAGATGCTTATTTTTATAAAGGAATGAAAGTTTTGGTCTATAGTATATTAAAGCATAACATTGTTTTGTGGCAAAATCTTCATGAAGCTAGACTGAAATTGCCACCAACTAAGAGCCAAGGCTTAGCATTAGATCTCTGACTGTTCAGGCTAGTGAAATGAAGTCAGGTAATGAAAAATGTAGATTGCCTGCTTACCTTCTTCTGGATAGCAAGTTCTTTAGTAGTTTGATTGATTAATTGATTGACTTATATTTATTTATATATCTTTATTTATTATTTTATTAAGGTATGATTGATACACACTCTTATGAAGGTTTCACATGAAGAAACAATGTGGTTACTACATATACACATATTATCAAGTCCCCACCTATACCCCAATGCAGTCAGTGTCCATCAGTGTAGTAAGATGCCACAGATCCACTATGTGCCTTCTCTGTGCTTGTAACTCCCTTTTTTTTCTGTCTTATAAATTGTATTCATGCATTACTTTATTTACTTTGAGAAGCATGGAGAATCTCTATAACCACTGTTATGAATAAAAAAGTAAGTAAGTAGAGTGAACTTAAAAATGTTTGATTTTGGTAATGTTCCTCTAAATATGCACTTAGAGGATACAGTAAACCAACTAAATAAAAACAACTTTACTCTTCCTGCTCTTAAGATATTATACATTTTTTTTGAGAGGGCATCTCATATTTATTGATCAAATGGTTGTTAACAACAATAAAATTCTGTATAGGGGGGTCAATGCTCAATGCACAATCATTAATCCATCTCAAGCCTAATTCTCATCAGTCTCCAATCTTCTGAAGCATAACGAACA